AAATTCTCAATTTCTACCACAATGGTATGATTGATTATACGGAATTCAGCTTAAATCCAAAGACAGAAAAACTTCTCGACAAGTTTGGAGAAAAATTTATTTTAACAGCTGGAAATATTGCCTCTTATTCGGACACACCATCAATTGGGTGTAAATTTTTTTCTTCGTTACCAGAAGCAGACAGTTATACATACAGGCCAGCCAGAAAACGAGTATTTATCAGCCACAGAATTGAAGAACAAAAATATTTAAAGAAGCTAGCTTGCTCAACAGCTATTTGTTTTAATCATATAAAAGAACTAAACCCCAACAGTGTCATAGAGCCATGGATACAGCAAGGTCAAGAAACACCCAAGCTACCTGTATCATTCACATGGAATAATTACAAGTTGCTTGTTGAAGGACACTACATACAGATTTGGTCACATTATAATTGGGATATGTAGTTGCCGTTATTCGGAGAAAGCCATATATGCCCAATAGATGTCAACAACAGAGAATTTCCAGATTCAGATCCATCATCACCAGTATCAGTTAATAGCACACACATAGATTTCTAGAGGCAATAAAGTAAGCAATGACGGACGTTAATATCCGACAAACGCCTGTCAAAACTTTAATAATGGAGATCGAATATAGAAACCGTATATTGTAACCTTATAGGCCTTTGATTTTTATAGCCTAAGTTTATAGGCTTTTTGACTTTTGTACCTTATACTTGTATTATTAGTATCTTTATCTTATCAGGCATATATTTTGTAATCATAGATAAGCATATGAATAAGGGAGAGCATCGGACGGGTCGGATCGGATCGGGCCCAAAAATGGGTAACCCGATCGGGTTTCGGTTTACAAAGACATACCCCGAAGTACATTGTTCGGGGTTCGGGGGTAGTCGGGTTCGGGGAAGATCGGGTTTGAGGATTTTCGGGTCGGGTTCGGGGAAGATCGGGTTTGAGGATTTTCGGGTCGGGTTCGGGGAAGATCGGGTTTGAGGATTTACAAAGACAAACCAATATGCAGCTAAGTGATCAATGCATTGTGTATAAGTATAACCCAAGTGTAAAATTTTATGAATCTAAAGAATAAAATCAAGCCCAATGGCAGCACCTATAATATCCCAGAAAACTTTACCTATAATACGGCTATATGTAAAGTTTTTTGGGATATAATACTTCTCTTTCATTTTAACACCCATTTCCTGTTCATAAATCAAAAACTTAAAGTTAGTAAACAACCAAATATAAGTAAATAGTAAAGGTTAAAGTAAAGGAAGATAAACATACCTCTTCAACTTTCGACGTAGATTGTAACATATCGGCAATTATGCAACTCAAATHTGAAATCTCAGTTAAGAAAGAATTTGAGGTGACATAAAGTGAGCCAAAAATTCTAATTGTCATCTCATAAAAAGTCTTCAAAAATATTACCAAACTGTCAACACATAACCAATCAACATATGACGGCACCGAATCACCCAAATCCAAATGTAACGCGGTGTCACTACTCTCATACGTTTCAAAAACGTTTCTGTAAGCCATTGCGGTTCGAAGCATCRTATAGGTCGAGTTCCATCTAGTTGGAACGTCAAGACATAAGGAACTTTTCTCTTCCACTTCAAGCAAATCTGCAAGTTCTCTAAACTTCTTCAACCTAGATGGAGAACCCCTCACCCACCTAATGTAATCCCTAATCTTCTTGACTGATGAATCTGCTAATTTCAATCCATCTTGTACRACCAAATTAAGAATATGAGCAATGCATCTCATATGTATATATTCTGCCCTAATAGAAGAACCACCCCAATTCACCACTTTTTTCTTCATGAACCCAACGGCAATGTCATTGCTTGATGCATTATCAACTGTGATGGTGAAAATATTTTTTATGCCCCAMTCAAGCAAACAACTCTCTATGGCCTTAGCTATACTTTCCCCTTTATGTGAATGTATAGGCACAAACGAGATGACCTTCTTATTCAGTTTCCACTCATCATCAATAAAATGTGCAGTRACACACATATAATTGATTYTTTGAACAGATGTCCAAGTATCAGTAGTCAAACTAATGCGTTGCGTGCTTGACTTAAACAATTTCTTAAGGTTTGTCTTCTCTTCAAAGTAAGTACTAAATATATCCCTATTAACGGTCCATCTAGAAGGGATCTTAAATCTAGGGCATGCAGCTTCAACAAACTGTTTAAAACCCCTCCCTTCAACAAACCTAAATGGAAGTTCATCCATTATAATCATTTTCGCTAATATAACAAGTATCATCTTCAGCTCGAACTCAACATAAAACCATGGTAGAAGTTATTAGTAGACTACATTCTATTCATGTGCGACTAGCTCTATCATAAACTGTTTGCAAGCTCTTATATCGTCATACTTTATAGTTTATAGTGCCTATAAATAAGCAAAAATGCTATTTCTGTAGATAATGAAAACTGGCAGATTCTCTTTATCACTTTTTCTTATACATCACAGCCCTTAAAATAAGCAAGAATGCTATTTCTGTGGATAATGAAAAGTGGAAACCAAAATGGCAAAAGTGGATCAACCGTCAACACAATTTTCACATTTATGATGTTACTTCAAGTGACCATGTTAGAGTGTATTTTCTATGTTTATCCTTGCAGTCTTAAAAGCTACCAATTCAAATTGTATTTTGCGTTGATTGATGTATTTGGAAATTGGAATGTTCATTGTTCTTAGAAGGTAAAATAAGTGGGATTTAAAGTTTTCCTCTTTATGTAATTCCTAATTGCAGTTGCTACTAATTACACACAGATAACTTCATTGAACATATTTTACACAGATAACAACTTGGATTCTGATTTCTTAGCCAAAATTAAACAGTTCATTGATTTTGTAAAGGCTGAGCAAAACTTACATAAATCTCTCGTGAGTCTCGTCGCCACTCGGACGGCAGGCGGCGGTCGGAGTCGGATGGCAGTAGTGGTCGGAATCTTGCACTTCGGTCTTCGGGTAAGGCTGCGGCAGTAGTAGTCGGACGAAGGTCTTATCGTAGTCGCAAGAGGAAGAGTGGAAGACGGGATGCGATGAGCCGATGGCGATAACTGCCCTACCGTAGGCTACCACTAAGCAAGCTCGTTTACATATCAAAGGCCCAAGTCCAACATCTCAACTTAATCCATAAGGCCTAATGAGATCGGGTTTCGGGCGGGTTCGGGTGATGGATCGTGGGATCCTACCCGATCCTACAAAATATATGTGGTTTAGTGTCGGGTTTCTTCGGGCGGGTTTTTCGGTTTTTGCTCAGCCCTACATATGAAGGTCTATAAATACCTTCATTCTCTTCATTTGTATATAAGAGTGAACTAATTCAAGAAAGAATTTTCTCTCTATATCCATGAGTTACTAAACCTCTCCCTATCTATCTCTCTAACTTAGTTTCATACTCTTAAAACTCCCTTTTCGCATCTTCATATCATATCCCTTACCTAAAAAAAAAAACTCCGCTGCACATACTCTCCTTCCTTCAAATCCTTCAAAAGTCTCTACCATCTCTGCAAATATACTTTGCTTTATGTTTTGATTATGATTTTGTTTATGCTATATGTGGTTTAGCGGATTTTTTGGGTTTCCGTTAAACCACATATAGCATAAACAAAATCATAATCAAAACATAAAGCAGAGTATACTTACAGAGATGGTAGAGACTTTTGAAGGATTTGAAGGAAGGAGAGTATGTGCAGCGGATGTTTTTATTTATTTATTTAATTTTTATAGGTAAGGGATATGATATGAAGATGTGGAAAGAGAGTTTTAAGAGTATGAAACTAAGTTAGAGAGATAGATAGGGAGATGTTTAGTAACTCAAGGATATAAAGAGAAAATTCTTTCTTGAATTAGTTCACTCTTATATACAAATGAAGAGAATGAAGGTATTTATAGACCTTCATATGCTTGTCTATGATTACAAAAGATATGTCTGATAAGATAAAGATACTAATAATATAAGTATAAGGTACAAAAGTCAAAAAACCTATAAACTTAGGCTATAAAAATCAAAGGCCTATAAGGTTACAATATACGGTTTCTATATTCGATCTCTATTATTAAAGTTTTGACAGGCGTTTGTCGGATATTAACGTCCGTCATTGCTTACTTTATTGCCTCTAGAAATCTCTGTGTGTGCTATTAACTGATACTGGTGATGATGGATCTGCATATGGATGTGAATCTGGAAATTCTCTGTTGTTGACATCTATTGGGCATATATGGCAGACAAGGCAATTTAGATTTTTAATAACAACAAAATCAAACCAAATCCTTGGTAGAAAATGAAACAGTTAAATTACTTACTAATTTCTTAACACACGAATTAGAAAAACGGAAAGATATCACAACTAGTATTAATCATCCCATAATATTGCATTTAGAAAAAATAGGATTAATCGGTGAAGATATTACAAAATCTAAGGTTAAATACATATGCAAATTTAAATTAAAAATCCCCGATATTACAATTAGAACAGCAAATATAGAGTATAGCCCATTAGACATAGAAGAATTTAAAAAACAAATACCAGAAATGTTACACAAGGATTAATTAGAAAATCTGCTGTAATTTGGCAATAACTTCTTCTTGAGCTTTAATCATTTGCTCAGGATTTGTTTTTATATATATATAGACTTGGGATCACGTGAGACCAGCCTGTTTTCGTAAGACCTGTGAGACCAGTTTTTTACACTTGAAACTTCACAGCAAAATGCTGTGAAGGTAACCTTCACAGTGTTTTTGCTGTGAAGGTTCGACTTTTTTAAACCTTTATAGTGTTTTTGCTGTGAAGTTTCAAGTGTAAAAATGTGGGGGTCTCACGAAAACAGTCTGGTCTCACGTGAACCCAACCCTATATATATATATATATATATAACCTATATTCGTACACAAACGAAAGCACATATAAATGTGATCATGTTCGTTTTTACTCTTACCAACCAAAAATTTAATGTGGAACAAGTACAAATAGTGCATACCACCAAGAAAAGTGATGAAACATTTCATTATTGGTGTATAAAGGTATTTATCAGAAAAGTTACAGAAACTTCAATTCAATGAATCTTTCCGGCAAATGGAACAGCCTGCACAACAACAACAACAACAAATTCAAGTTTTAGAAAAGTTGATATGAAATTCTCAGAACATATCCAAGACAAGAAAACGACTGACCACGAAGGAAGGTCGTTTTGGTCATATGCATAGTAGTTGTAAAAGTACATGTAGTATGTTTGTGATTGTGGTCTTCATTGTTATATACATAATAAATAAAAGTTGAACTAAATATAGTTTGTGATAGAATCATATAAACCAAACGAGCCCAATATATCCTAAAAGTTTGGGGGTAGAGCGACTGTTTAGGTGAAGACCACTGGAAGCATGGTTGTTTGTATATATGCCAATCATTTAAACAAAATCAAATGATCTCTCGGTTTATATATCTGGGGGTTGGATGTATGCACAACTGCCCTCTGCCTCAAGGGATAAAGCGACTATTTAGGTGAAGACCCCTGAAAGCATAGGTTGTACATATGCAAGCATATATGATCCTTAATTTTGGGGAGTGCACGGGTAAAACCTTGTTTTTTTTGGTGATACTGGGTAGTGAACCGTATGGGTATCGTAAGTTAAGAATGGATTAGTAATCGGTTTCATTACTGATATTAGAAATAGCATAAAAGTTGAAGTTTAAGTAAAAATAATATAAATTGCAAGAGAAAGAAAAATCATCAATTCAAATGATAAAGCACATAAAGACAATAAATGCATAGGAGAGGTACAAAACCACTAAACTACTAAAGATTGCTTGCTATCCATCATAGAGCAGTGAAACCTAGTCATGTGTCTCCATGAAAGCCTATTTGAGCAGCCACCTACATCTTTCTACCATATAGTTGGTTGGATGACTACCCTTTACCAAACACTTACTCGGTAAGCGCTTATCGGTAAAATTCAACACTATCATTTACTTACCGGGTAAGAGTCATCATCCTCACTTACCGGGTAAGACTCTTGTCCTTGCCTTGCTCTTACCGGGTAAGACTCTTGTCCTTGCCTCGCTCTTACTGGGTAAGATTCTTTGTCCTTACCATATTCATCCGGTAAGGTAATATGACTTAGTAAGCTCTTACCCAAGTAAGCATTTGATAAACAGCCTCTTATTCTTCAAACGAGTAAGATTACTATCTTCATCGTCTGTTGATGACATGTTAATAACATGTGATGATTATAGAGACCAAGAATTTGAAGTAAAGAATCTTTCTTACTTTATGGGAATGGAGGCCGGTTGCATGAACAAAACAAAGTATTTCATACAAGACCACACATGCACAATCCACTAGAAGAACACCTAAAACTGGTGAATATCAGAAAGGTGGAGGTGCTTTGTGCGACTAGTGCAAGGAGGTAAGAAATGTCGAAGGAATAACTGGAAACCAACACACAAGAATGATGGCATGAGTCAGAAAGCAATGCCAATTCGGTTACTTTTACTGAGGAAGAATTTGATGCTTTATAGGGAACTCTTAGGGCACACCTCTACTACATCGCAACCATCTTAACCACCATCAACAAGTTTGTGCTTGGAGTGTAGACTCTGGAGCTTCCGGCCACATGACAAGATATGGGTGCTTTTCATAGCTAACACAGTGTAAAAACTACCCGGTTGTTCATATAGATGATGGCTCTCTCTCTCTCTCTCTCTCTCTCTCTCTCTCTCTCTTGTAAGTTGCAAGAACAGGGTTAATAGAATTGACCAAAGACCTTCATCTATGCGTAATTCTTTTAAGGGAGCGCTCATGAGTGAAAAATATTAATGGTTCATTTCACCTAATGATGATCACCAGATCCACATGGACATTTTTATGAAGAAAAAAACAATGAATTTCAAGCCTTCCATTTCGTTATTTCCACCCAATTCCATATCAAAAATTCAAGGTTATCAGAACTGATAATGCTTACATATTAGTTCATGTGTGGATTGGTAAGGTCAATCATATACCTAAAACGCTTTTGAGGGGAAGCCACTTCTCTCATGTCTCGTCAATTCAAATCACCCCGTCAAGTCCTCATTGATATCCACCCTCATGTCAAGTAGTTCTTATCAGATCTACCTCTCAAGGTATTTGGTTGCACTTCTTTCATCAACAAAATAAAAAAAAAATAGATCTCAAATCCCTTATATGCATTTTTCTTAGTTGCTCCTCAAATCAAAAGGGTTGTCACATACTCCATGGCCTTCACATTCTTTGATAATAGTCTTATTTTCTTAACTCTAAAATTCAAGGGGAGACTTCTAGAGAACTTCATATTTGGAACACTCAATTTCCTACTACAAATCTATTTGCCCTCAAATGATCAACATGGGACTCAGTTTTGATCAATCTAAGCCTATCCCCAACATTCAGAGTACTTAGATTAGTCCCAACTCTCAAATGTCTCAACTCTCCATCCCTAATGTCATTGTTTAGTCAAGAGGGAAATCCACACAATAGCCAAAAGCCACCCATCTACAAACTATCAAACATCTTATCCAAATATACCTATCCCCCAATCACAAGGACAAGAATATATTCCTCATGGAATGGAGAATGGCGATATTTAGGATTCATTAAAAAAATCGCCCCCATGTCGCCACACAAAGGGCATGGGGACGTAAAAGACGTAATTATCTTGAATAGATTAACCATTTCTTTATTTTCCGATCGCCTACCAAAAGCGAGAGAAACCCCATCCCTCTCTTTTTCCTTTCCATAGGAGATTGGATCTAGCCGTAAGAAGAAGCCCCGGTGAACGGCGGCCGTAACTATAACGGTCCTAAGGTAACGAAATTCCGTGATGATCCTTCACTTCCAATTTCTCAAAGAAAGGGGGTTTGAACTGAGCCACTCATCTAATGGAAAAATACTTGGGGCTTATGGAAATTTACTACCCTCCTATAAAGCTTTTGTTACATACCTTGTTCCACAGTTAGTTAATTAACGTAGCTTACCATGATCCTACCTAAAACGTGGTGTTGAAGAAGAAATTTATGCATTCGAAACTAATGACACATGGACACCACTGAATTGCCGCATAGACACTCATTGAATTGCTACATGGGAAAAGTCCAGGTAGATGCAAATGGATATTCATAGTTAAAATATTAGGCATATGGTTGATGTGGAAAGGTTTAAACCGAAACTTCTAGCAAAAGATTTTACTCAATGCTATGGTATAGATTACCAATGATCAATTTGTTGTCTCATTGTGGTTTTCATGTGGTTGGATTTCATTTTCATTGTAATCATATGTTTCAATTTAATAAAAAACTAACCATTTCAAGAAAAACTTAAAAGATGATAATATGAAGCAGAAATAGTAACAGTTTCAGAATTCTCGAAGAAAACAAGTACAAGAGAAGGTTGAGGTCAGATCTAGAGAGGGAGGTCAAAATCCAAGGGAACTAAAAAAGGACCTAGAAGAAATATAACATAAGAACTTGAACCCATATATCGAGGAGGCATGTATGGAGGAGGGGGGGGGGTGAGAAATTGTACTATATGGGAAGCTAATGAAAATCTCTATTAAAGAGTTTAATCAACTAGTGGGTGCTTTCAGTAACAAATACACTTAGGAAAAGGACTCAGATTGCTGCAACTAGTGTATTGGTTGATCCTCATTGGCGAAAAAATATATTTGGTATTTGTCTTTCATTTACTGAAGCAGATATTTCTTTCCTTTCCACCCTACCATGCTTTAAGTACAGGAGAATGATTGCTACAAGGACTATATTAAGGACTAGTTATCTTTCTTGCAACTTTATTGTATCATTTTGCCTTCACTAATAGAAACTATCAGTAGTTTTCTAATCTGATGTACCGGTCAACGACAAGTTTGTTTCATGTACCCCCATAGGAGGCAGTAAAGTCACCTCAAGTCAACTATACTATAATTGGGAGAATATTGGAGGAGTAGTTTGGTATTTTGCATTGGGGGAAAGAATTGTTTAATAGAGTTGGTATGTTGTCCGGGGTATCTTTTCAGTTGAATCGGTTCAGGCCTAGTGGAAGACCTCTGGCAGTCCTGAAATTCCCGTGAATTCCATTCTCCATTTACTCATTTATAATCTCTCAAGCTTTCGGTCACATTGAAAAGTGACCTCGGTGATTCAGTGTTGATCAAAAGGGTATCATAGTCAGTCGTATCTGTGTGTGTGTGTGTGTTTTAGGGAAAGTCGTGAGTACCCTCCCACGAGCCTCTCGAAAGCCGAGAAACCTATATGTAATCATCCGATTTCCTCTATTCAATTTCTTCTCAAATCGCAACTGAATTACTTCTACTGGTCTGTGGTTGTCAATTGATATTGAATTTATCTGAAAGTGCTTCAGTTAACAAGTTATACGCTCTGTGTACATCATTTGTCCACAATTAGTCTCCCTTCCTACCTACCTACGCTACCAGCCCTAAAATTTCGTTTAATTTCCTTCTAGGTCCCTTTCAAATTTTATTGGGTCTTCATCTCCCTCTCTCCCAACTCCCCCCCCCCCCCCCAAAAAAAAAAAAAAATAAGAACATCATGCTCTCCCCTTCTAGGGTTCTAAAGTATAGAAAAGAATAATTTTAAATGAATCATGAAATGTTTATTGTTGCTAACCCATTAAAAGTTGTATGTTTCATACAATATGTGGTGACAACACTTGTATCTTCAGACTTTTCCTCCTTCAGCAACCCCCCCAAACACTCTCCTTTATCTCACATGAGAAGAGGTGCCGTTGGATGTTAGTCCCATATCTAATGTCACCAATACTAATCGCACAGATTGAAATATATGTGTATATGTGTGTATATGTATGTGCTTATAATTGTGAATACAGAAGCATACTAGAGAATGATGGGCCCTATTCCGACAATGTTCATATTTACAACAGATTATCAATTGTTGTGGTCTTCACAAAAACAACCGCTCTACCCTTTGGGATAGAGGACGTGTCTCCAATTATCAATTGTATTGGCTCTTCACTAATGGTTGTATACCCTTCTTCTACTAAGGGGTAATATTATAGAATTCACATAAACTGCGTCAACTTATGCAACTCAAGGAGCATTCCTATCTCAAAGACCATCACTCTTAAGGCTTAGAATGCCTATATCAGAACCTAGGAGCACAAAGTAATGCCGGTCTTGGAGCTTGCTCCACACTTCTACTATTATTAGATTAGCTTAGAATTGCTTATACCAAATTAAGATTGTAGTCTTTGTGTGGTCTCCTTTTAATCGGATATTTAGGTTGGAATAATAAATTAGTACATCCTCAGTTCAATATATAAGCATAAAGAACTTTGTTGACCATGATACTTGATAACTATTTTGCATGATGAGGAGGCTAAAGACACCAAGAACTTAGAGAACCTTAGAAAGCAGACGTGAGGATCGCCGAATGACAAGTCCACCTTGTTCAAGGATTTGCCCACCAAGCAGTTTTGTGCTTCTTAAAATTCTTTGATGAGATTGACCATGGATGTAATCGCTTTTGTCGTTATGTTTCCTTCTTTTACGCCCACCATCAGATGCTGATATCACAATCGTGTTCCCATCTCTGCTGCAATTCATATAAGGAATGTAACTAAAAAGTCCTTAGATATACCATAACAAACACTAGGGCAAGAATGTTACCCTGAGACTTCCATTCCTTCAGCAGAATTGATACTCTCCTGCACATGTAAGAGTGGTAATGTCATAGCCTTTGTCTAAAGAAGATATGAAAACCTTCTCAATGACTTAGCTGTATATATCTTCCATGTTTAAAACGTAAATAGAAAAAAAGTTTCCAACAGGAATTCCTAAAGCACAAGGCAAGGACAACAAGCTTTATGAGAGTCAACATACCCTGTTCTCAACCGTTGAACGTCTGTGATTACCAGCAGTTTCTTGATTAACCTCAAAAGTGCTAGTTAATAAGTTTTCAGAACATATCATTCCCGTTCTAGAACATGATGAACCTTTCTGGTGGCTTGAAAAATCTGAAAACTGATTTTCCTCGGAAGAAAAGGCTACAACTTCTAGACATTCTGCATTTGGACTGTAATTCTCCTTCATGGTTGTATCTTGACAATTTACATGTACAAGCTCTGAGCTCTTTCCTTTCTTTGACCGAACTTTTGAACCAATTACAGTCATGTTCAAAAGGGAAGCTGGTTCATGGGGAGCATCAGGGACAACTGAATTCGATGACTTTGTATAACCATCTCTTGTAGAAAATTCTAGGCTGGATATAGTAGTTACTTCCTTTTCTACCACTGAAGGAAGAGTTTTCCCAATTTCTCTACTCATTGATTTAATTGAAAATTTGTTTTGTGCATAAGAATTCATGCTTGCATCCGAAGCACTAGCTTTGGCAGGTGAATTAATTTTAAGGTTATTTTTATCTCTTAAACATTCAACTTCCTGCCGGAAGCTTCCAAATCCAGGCTTCTGATGATTTTGACATACACAAACTGCTTTTTCCATACTTTTCAACCAGTTGGATCGTTTTAAATTCAGATCAACAAGAAGTCTGATCCCATCTTTTGCCCGGACATGATATTTAAATGAGGGACCTGCTGCAGAAGATCTCATGGAGGCGGTATCTGCTGAAAGTAAACAGTTATTTTCATTTCTATGCGGAATTTTATGTTTATTATCTTCCTCGATTTTGCTCTCAGAAATAGAACTCTCCCTGTCTAGGCATGTTTTCAAAGATTTCTTTGTATAGTTAGAACTACTGTGGTAAGATCTGCATGCATCTTGAGAGCATGGCGACACTTTTTTCTTGCTCCGTAAACGGGATGATCTTCGGATAGAGGCTTTAGGAACTTCAACACCTGGAGCCTGCATTCACATTAGATAACTCAGTGAAGTACGTAAATATTGCAATTCATTAACATTTTGCACATGAATTTCATTTCCATGGAGAAGAATGAGCACCCTACTGAGCATATGGTTTACAAAGTTGACAGAAGTAAAACTTAGATTACATGTCTGCTAAGAAAATTATAGTGAAGTCAGGTTCATTCGTCTTGGTTACATTAAACTTGCAATTAATTTCCTTCTGTATTTGCTTTGGTTCCAAGACTTTTCTTTTGTGTGTGTGTGAAAAGTCGATATACTTTTGTCCGACATATAGTACAAAATCGAAGTTTTTCACTGAAGTTCACTAAAATTCTTCTCATATATTCCTTCTGCCTTTTGTGTATGGAAATGTGAATATGCAGTTGTCCTACATATAGAAGTGTTGATGCAGTTTTCATTAATATTTACTAGAATCCTTTTTTCTCATTTTCCCTCCCGATGTACACTCTTATCCATCCATGTACCAGAAAATTCCCATAAATATGCTTTTGGAAACAAAAAAACCAAAAGGCAAAACAGAAGCCAATTAGTCATAAACCTGTAGAAGTATATTGCAAAAAATAAAAAATAACTAGTGCATTAATAATGAGGTCCAAAGGCATCAAACGTGATTTACCATAGGCTTGCTTCACTTAAGATCATAATTTATATAAGGCTCAGAGTTTTTCTGTAACTTTGCTCGAGTCATGCAGGCACTGATTTACTTTCTGTCAGCCATAGCTATGCATGTTAAATACAAATGTCAAGATTGTGTTTCTTGAGGCTTAGGTAGGGATAGAGATTCAGGCTGAGGTTGAAGTTGAGAGAAAGGATGAGATGGGCTTTTTGGAAGTGAACAGTGCCACTTGACCTCCTGTTTGATCCAGATTTTGAAAGAGATCATCATCCTATTTCAGAAGTTTTGGAATTGGGCTTTTCTCAATTTTAGCCCAAAGTGTTTTTATATTTCAAAAAGTTGGGTATGTATAGCCTTCAATTTGAGAAGTGTTACTTAGAAGTAAATCTATTGCACGGCATAGATCCAACCAATGGGTTGTGCATGCTGAATGTGAGAATAGGGCTTCTAGTAACACTATTCATTGTGTATGTATGAGATACTCCAATGTGGAGTCCTACTGAATGAATAGTAATTATGGAAGCCCTGTCACACATTCATACTCCAACAGCCTACTTGCTGTCTATGAAAAAAAAGGCTTTGGAAGTAAATTAAACTAGCTCACTTGTATATAATATTATATGTGTAGTGTCAGTTTAAAACAAGAACAAGTAACTAAATAAAAGAATAAGAAAACGGTCGAATCACGTGTGATTTTATACTAAAATCACGTATAAAATCACATGTGATTCATGCGACTTTGGCCGCAACCTGAGGTCGCGGGCCACGTCGCCGGCACACCCTTTTGTTGACCGTGATGTAAAATCACATGTGATTTTGCATGTGATTTGGCTGTTTTGTCATTCTCTTATTTAGTTATTGTTCTCGTTTGAACTTCCATCTATATGTGTACACATATTCATGTATCAGACTTGGGCCTGTTTGTTTTTTGCTTAATTGGCTTAACAGCTTATCCGCTCTTTTGGCTTTAATTTAAGCCATGGTTGGAAATTGCTGAAATGGATAAACACCATGTAACTGCTGTCCACATCAAGTCATCTTTTTCAATTAAGATCTTAATATAAAATAAAATAAAAAGCAGCCCCTTGCTATTTAGTGAAAGATAAGCTTTCAAACCCAAATTGTTACAAGGCACCATAATCGACAGCCTTCATAAGTTAATCTATTAAGAAAGTATGAACAATAAAAGAGAAAATACCTCAACATGACTGTCCTTTTCCATATGACATTCTTGTTCATGGCTATCAGTTCGACAGTGCATCTTCAAGCAAGTCTTGTCCATAAGTCGACTAATTTTCCGGTTGACACCTGCAACAAATATAAATCAAAGTTAGTGTGGTTATCAAGATCCTGTTGTAAACATCAAGAGAACGGTTTCAGCAAGGTTTGTAACAGCGCATTTCCGGGAATAGACATTATTATAATAAGAAACCGTAGGTGCATTAATCAATAAAAATTCATAATAGAGCATTTCCGGGCCTAGACATTCTTATGATAAGAAACCGTAGGTGCATTAATTAATAAAAAGTTCAACGATAGAACTAGGGACATATTGAACTTTACCCTAATAACATTTTATTAATACTGGCTTTCTTTTAAGTTCAAGTCGAAGAAATTAATTTATAACATTACTATATAACAAAACAATATTAAACGGCACAACCAATTTATTAAGAGGATAGCAAACATGTGCCATTGATCAAGTTGAAAGTTAAAAAGGTTATGATGCAATTGTAAGTGATAAAATAGCCAAGAAATAAACACATTGAATATTTATGAAGTTAGAATTATATAACAAGACAAAACCATGTCGGTTCAAAGTTAAAATACGTCGTATTCGGTATAAATGGCATTTTATATATAAATGTCAAAATGTAGGGAAGAATCAGACTAATATATCGGTGTATTTAGATTTGCAAGAGGAAAAACAAATTAAAATATACACATTTAAATAAAGAAATATGAAGTACTCTTGTTAAGAAAAAGAAAAGAGTTATCTTTAGTAAAGTAGATATATATAGATATATGGATAGGAAAAGTGCACTGGAAATTAGAAGGAAACCCTCTAAATGAAGCCACCTCTCTCACAAGGTATTTATGTCATCATAAGACACCAATATAAGACGCTCCTCTTCTCTACTTCATTTCTTAATTCAATTCCCAGCAGAAAACTTCTCATATAAAACACACTTAAAGCATGGAGTTCAACATCGGCTAGGCTTGAACCATTTCTCCTGTACATATGTTGGAACCTCCCCTTTCTCCTAAAGGGCTCTTTTGGAGAGTGATATGAGGTTCCACATATTCTCACATGGTATCAAAGACAAGATCCGCCACTCTAGGAACCCGCACTTGGCTAGCCCCCTCTCGACACTTTGGGACAATGTGTGTCCATCTAGCCTCCGTTTGAGGGGGCGTGTTAGAGTCCCACATCAGCTAGACTTGGACCATTTCTTCTTCAGAACAAGTCATTGCTACAGGGACTAGTTATTTGGTGTTGAATATAGAGTTATTTATGTATTCTAACTATGTTTATTAGGTTATAGTGAAGTTGTTAAAGGCTAAAGGCGCACTTAGGCGCAAAGGGGTCCTCGGGACTAGGTGCGAGGTGCGGGCCTCAGGAATGCAAGGCGCATCTTATAAAATAATTATATATACGTACACATATAGTTATACACAACTCAAATAGCATTCTATAAAACATAGTTTAATTAAAATTTCCAAAAAGTAGCAATATCAAACATATCTCAATAAAGTCTTGGCTAGTGTAAGCCTACAATGTAGCAAGTACAAGCCTCCAATGTAGCAACCACAAGAGATAATGATTTAAAGACCTAAGAAAAAAGTTTTGGGTTTAAAGCCATGAGGGAGAAGTATAAGGTATGGATGTGTTTATAGGGAGCCCTGAAGTTCTAGGGTACGAGATAACATTAACCAAGTCTAATAATCTCCTAGACTTCTACAAAAGAAGTTATTAGATAAGTCCTAATATCAAATAAGTCTATTAACTCTCTTTTTTGTAGAAGTCTGAGAGACAAGAAAGTTTGTTAGTATCAGGGTTTGTTTATTAGGGTTTATTTGACTGGTTGTATAGAAATCTTTATAAGGCACGCCTAGGCCCATACGGTGCCTTAGCCAAGGCCCAACGTAGGCCGTTTACCAAACACTTACTTGGTAAGCGTTTACCAGTAAAATTCAACACTATCACTTACTTACCAGGTAAGATTTTAGTCAACAAAAACAGCATTGTATGCAACAGTTTAGCCGGTAAGTGCTAACCGTGGTAAGAGTTGTCGCCCTCACTTACCAAGTAAGACTCTTGGTCCTTGCCTCGCTCTTACCGAGTAAGATTCTTGGTCCTTACCATATTTATCAGGTAAGGTAATGTGACTTGGTAAGCGTTTACCTAGGTAAGCGTTTGGTAAACGGCCCTTAGTGCAACCCATCAATACGCCTCGGCTGAACATGCAAAACGCCCACAAGCTTGCACCTCAGCTCCGAGCACGCCTTCACAACTACGTTATACTTAGAGCTCTATCTTGGTTTCGGCCGATGGCTCACATACATACTCTATTAATTTATGGTTTCGTTAATGGAGCAAATAAACCTCTTAAGCATCATGTTTTTATAGTATAAGAGCCAAGAGCAGCATGTTAGAGCAGCCATCTACAGCAAATCGTTGCCTTATCGACTGCCAAAACATTCAAACCTCCCTTGATTGAATCAGCCTCATTCGCATATATTGATTTGAACTCTCATTAGCACCTTCCCAGATCACGATGCATTTTTTTGCTCATTCAAGCAGTCATCACAGATTAACCTATCAGCTCAGACATAATTTTGAGTTTCAATTTCCAAATCCTGTTTGGTTCACGTCTTGCTGGTTCATAGATTATTCGTATATCAAATTGCTGCTTAGATTTGTTGATCAGATATGGGATTCTTTATTTAGTTCACAATCCATCCTTAGGTTTGTGATCTCACGCATATTTGTATATTGCTAGGTCTCAGAATTATTTATTATGATCAAGTGGTATAATTATCGTAGTCTCCATGTGTATTTAGCTACAGTAAGGATCTCTTCAGCTAGCAGATCACACACTGTCTCCAGTAAAGATAATTCATCTGTGCATCATCTCCTACCCATCTTCATGTTAGAATAACCAAGGTTCAAGTATTCTCATAAGTGGAAGTCGGTGGCGGATCCAGGAACTTTCTTGAGCTGGTGCACCTTTAAGGTGGATCAAAACGCTGCCAAGTCGTGAGTCCGATCGGAGAGAAAAGTCAACACGGTTTGACCCGAGGGAAAGTCAATTATGTCGATTTCGGGAATAATCCATTTTTTTCAAATTGACATCCTTTGACTTTTGAGCAAAACACAAGACTACGTCGTATGCCAACGTATATTTAGCTGAATTCCACCGTTAACGGGAACATTTTTGTGTTTTGGTTGATCTCATAAAATTTTCCAATTTTTAGTATTTGATATTGATTGTCCGATGTTCTTTTTCTAGGTTTTTTTCAATTTCAGTTCCTTATACATCTAGAACTCCTAGTATTAAATAGGATGTTTAAATGAAAATTAACTATGCATCTTATTTCGCTTCCTTACGTATCTAGAATTTCGAGTAACAATAAACAAATTAATAACTAAAAGCATATTAGAGAATACAAACAAGACAAGAGGAAGAACTTATACTTTTAGGGAAAGTTAATGATCAAACAACGTGATAATTTATAGAAGGACGTCGAACAAATTTGGAAATGGAGATAAAATTAATAGAGTATTCAATGTGTTATTAAATTTAATTTAAGGGGGTTTGCGAACGTGATTTAGGATTGAAAGAGATTAAGAGTAACAAGGGAATTATTAGCTTTCTAGTATTAGACCGTATATATTATTATTATTGTTGTATATTTCTTCCATATTCACTCTCATGTATTTTAGGATAGTTTGTTGTTATCCTTGTATATATTCGATGRATTATTGCTAATGAAGGGRGATTCTTTTGCCAATCTTTATGGTATCAGAGCCCTCTATTCTCTCGGGCTCTCTCTCTCTCTCTCTCTCTCTCTCTCTCTCTCTCTCTCATCAGCCACGGCTGATTCATCTTCTCCGATCGGTTTTTCCGGCGACCTTCTTCACCCTTTTCAATGGCGAAGGAAGATCTGCTCCCTCAGAAGACTGCATCTCCATCCGGCTTACACGGTTACGAACATCCAGAACAAAGTTCGAGTTTTGGATGGTGTCAAGGTTACGTATTCTTCGTGGGTCAAGCTATTTCGCATACATGCTCGTGCATACAAGGTGTTGGCTCATATTGATGGTACTCGACCACCTGCTAATATCGATGATGCCTATAACCAATGGGCAGAAATCGATGCTATTGTGTTACAATGGATCTATGGATCCCTTTCCGACGACCTGCTGATTCGAGTTCTTGAACCAGACTCGACTGCTTTTGAAGCCTGGGAGAAGATTAAGAACATATTTCTCTGCAATAAAGGATCCCGACCCGCTGCCCTTGAACATGAATTCACCAACCTCACCCTCCGAGCCTCGACTTCCCTTGATGACTATTGCCAAAAACTGAAAGACTTGGCCAATCAATTGAACGATGTTGACAACCCGGTTAATGAACAACGCTTGGTCCTTCAGTTGGTACGTGGCCTCCCACCAGAGTTTGACACCGCCGCTGCCTACATCAACCAAACCCTTCCTGATTGGGACACCGCCCGAAGCATGCTACAGCTTGAACACAATCGACAACTTGCACGGGAAAAAGCAAATTCATCCACTGCTGGAGAAGCCAACGTTGTTGCTGATCATCACCAACCCAATCGTTCCGGTAGTGGACCACCCTCTTCCCGCCCTCTTTCTTCTCGGCAGAACCAAGGAAGATCAAACCCGAGGGGCTCGAATCGGTTCAACCAGCCTGGACAGCCTTCAAATCGCTCTCATGGACAGCCTTCAAACCGCTCGCCAGACACATCCTATGGCTTTCAAAACGCACCGCCATGGTGGGCTATGATGCCACCACCATGTCCATATCCTACTCAACAGGGATGGACCTATCCGTGGTATCCTCAGCCACGTCCACAGCCCTCACACCACCGCACTTCTACTCGGCCGTTTGAACCAACTCAGCGAGCTAATGATGCTCCCCAAGCCCATGCTGCCGGATCTCTTAATGCTTTGGATCCCACTGACATTGGCACTGCTTTTCAGAMTMTGACAATGRAACSGCCTGATGATTCTCAATGGTACATGGACACCGGTGCGTCGTCTCACCTTACGGGTGACTCAG